TCTGTAGGGAAAGATGTTAGACCAACTTCTGTGGTTACGAGGGGAATGCCAACCCAAATGAGAAGTAATGAACAGAAAATTGAGATGAAACAGATGGTAACTAATACAGAGGTGCAGAAATGTTTGGGTAGGTATGGTGGATAGCCTGAATTTCTCCAAAATGATTGAGGTGGAAACATGACTAACATTTGAAAAGTCACAAAGTCTGTCAGTCTTTCACAGAGCAGCAGAATCCCAGCATGGCTGGGGTTGGAAGGGACCCCTGGTGCCCAGGATGGGATCTAGGCACATTTGGGATCTCTCCAGAGCAGGAGACTCCACAGCCTCTCTGGGCAGCTGCTCCAGGCTCTGGCACCCTCACCCCAAAGAAGTTTCTCCTCCTGCTCAGGTGGCACCTCCTGGGTTCCAGTTGGTGCCCGTTGCCCCTTGTCCTGTCCCTGGGCACCACTGACCAGAGTCTGGCCCCATTCTCTCACTACTTAAAAGGGACTCCACTAAAATGACAGCAGCATAGGAAGGTTTTTTGCAAGGTCAAAGCTTTGGCAGTGCAAAAGAATTTCCCTCAGAGGGTTGCTGTAGGGGTTGAAGGAGCCCTGATTTAAAATGCTCCCTTGTTTGGGAGAACTGGGGAACTCTGAACTGCCTGCAGCCTGTTGCTGCTCTGGGGTGATGGTGTTGGAAACTGCTATTGCTCCATGAGCTAGGTGTGTTATGTCTCACATAAAAGACCATGTATTCTAGGCTCTGGCTCCTACTCAAGAGAATTATTAATTATTAAGGATATTTATAGTACAATTATTTTGGTAGTAAAGTAGAGAAGTCAACTTTCTCTTCATTTTGAGGTCCAAGCATTCCTTTCTATGCCATTTTGTTTTCTAGGCACATCCAAAAGTATGTGAAAAGCTAAAAACTCTCATGGTGGAGTGGTCAGAAGAATTTCAGAAAGACCCACAGTGTAGCTTAATATCTGCAACTATTAAATCTTTGAAAGAAGAAGGTGTCACTTTCCCTGCAGCTGGATCACAGGTAAGAGCTGATTTGGGATCCATGGTGTGGTCAGTTCCCTGTTCCTGGTGGTGAGCAAGCAAAAAGTTGCCCAAATTAGAATATTTTTCTTTTTTGTGTGTGTTTTTGACTGGAGGAGAAGGATCCTTGTTCTAGTTCAGGTGCCTCCTTGTGCTGAGGTTCACTTCTCTTCATTCTGCCTTTCCCTGTCCTTGCCTTCCTAAAAACCAGTAAGAACAGGCTAAAGGTTATTTCATGGTGTCCTTCCAAGTTCTTTAATTTTAGATCCTCCTTTTATTCGGATCGTTGTAGAGCTTCATTGAGCTGTCACCACTTCAAATGGCAGCAATTCTACACCCACACTTTGTACTTGGTGTTTCATGGTTCTCCTTGCTGACTTGGAGCACATACCTTCATTTTTCTTCACAGAGCCTCATAAAACCAAGGACAGTGTCTGGAATGAAGATGTTCTGGAAGATGATCCGTGCTGTTTTCCTTCTCTGAGTCCCCATTTCTTGTCCATGTCAGGAATTGTCCTGGCACTGCAGAGGGTGGGGTGCTCAAGCCCCTTTGTGTTTTGCTTCTGGTGGTGTATTATTCCTGATCCTCTCTCTGGCAGATGTGATGACAGGTGTTGGGCTTTTTTTTTTTCCTCTGCTTCTAAATATTTTCATGTTAATTATGAGTCAAGTAAAGAGCAGGCCTGAAAATTAGAACTATAGCTTCTGTTACATACTCCTTACATGAAGTTTGCTTTTTCTTCTCTATATTGAACACAGAGGGGTTTTATTTTTTAATTTTACAATCTTGCCTTCCTCCACAAAGATGTTTTCACTTCTAAATCTAGGCTATGTGTTAAAACATATGGTAAAAACACAGATCTAGAGTACTGGCAATGAATTATGCTTCCCTTCCTACAAATACATCTAAAATGCCATCTTGATGGCTTTACCTCATACACTTCAAGTGAAGCTGAGGTTTGGTAGCAGTACCCTTGAACAGAATTGTTTCCCAGGACCTAGACATGAAATACCATTCCTCCAGAAGTGCAGGAAGACTTCTTCTTGCAATGATTTCACTGTGCTGTTGTGGAGACTGGAATTATTGAAGTCAGGAGCTCCCAACATGATGTACATCTGCTCTTCTATCCCATTGTCCTGCCAGCAGAGACAGAAGGTGACTTTTTCCTCTGGTACAGAGAGAGATCTGCTTATTATTGAGCTGCTGCTCAATAAATTGGGGCTTTGCAGGCAGAGGACCCCAAAGAGCTTTTCTTCCCTGGTGGAGGACAAAGGTGGGAAAAAGTAGCCATTGAAATGAGTCTCACTTTAATAAATGAGGCTAAAATAGTATTTATAATTTATACAACATCAGTTATTCATAATTTATATTATTTATAATGTAGATTAGATCTGTTATTTCAATTAGATCTGATTATTTATTTTACTTTGTTTCTTACTGAACACCAAACAAAACCTGGCTGAGATTCTGAAGAGTGGTAATATTTTCTTCTGGAAGCTCTCCTTGATTCAGCACTGAAATGCTACAAGAAGCAGCTAACCAGGAACAACTTACTCCTCATTTTTTCCAAGTATCTTAACTCCAGAGCTTTCTCTTCATTCGTAACCTGAGTTTATTGTGCTGTTAATCCATTTGCAGGCTGCCACAAATGCTGCTAAGAATGGCTCAGCACTGAGCAAGAACAAAGAAGATGAAGATATAGCTAAAGGTAAGATGCTGGTGGCAGCCTCAGGTTAGATGAGTGCCCTGGAAGTGTGCTTCAAAAGGCACAGAACTGGGAAGTGTGTGTGCTGCAGTTAATGGGCTGTACCATGAAAAGCAGAGGGCTTTGTAAATGTTTCATAACTGCATGATTATCTCCTGTCTTTTAATCCTGTTGCAGGGCAGAGTAAAGCTGTTGAAATATGGGTTTGGAGCAAAGATTTTCAATTTAAAATACATGGGGTGCAGATACAGGTTGAGTTTAGAATATAAGAATAAATAAGAATAATTAATTTCCTATTTATTTTTACTAGCAAAGCAAACTCCCTGTATAGACAGGGCTAAAACACTCAAACTTCCTTTTTTTTTTCCTCTCCCCTTTTGTAGCTATCGAATTGTCTTTGCAAGAGCAGAAACAGCAACAAATGGAAACTAAATCCTTGTACCCATCTGCAGAAATCCAGCAGAACAACCAGAGCTCCAGGAAGGTGCGAGCTCTCTACGACTTTGAGGCCGTGGAGGACAACGAGCTCACCTTTAAAAGTGGAGAAATTATTTTGGTGTTGGATGACAGGTAGAACAGACTCCAGCCAAGATGTCTTTATTCCAGAACTCTGGTTTTCTTAAGCTAGCACATTTTTCCTCACTGTGTCATGTTGGGGGTTTCATCCTGGGGTGCAGGTCCAATTTGTTTGTGGTTTTTTTTTTTAAGATAAATGCATTACAGTGCTCCAGGAATTGTTACATCTCTGGCTACCAGGCATCACATTTGCTAAGAATAGAGCTGAAGAAAAAGTACTTCAGATGATTATTGTTGTTGCCACCATTGCCCTAATAATGATAGCTAAAAAGCAGAACTTCTGCCCTGCTAATGCTGCTCCAATTCAATAGACAGTGACAAATCAATTATCATTCTAAAGTTAATCCCCACTTGTAAACTTTTAGATGAAGCTATAGTGGGCTGTCATCTAATCAATGAACTGAATCAAGAGTTATGTTGAATTTTGAGGTATTGCTACTGAATGATTTTCTTCCCCACACCTTGGCCCCAGCTCTGGCTTTGCTGCTGGGCTGCTCACCTCTACCAAAGTTCTCCTTTGCCTTTGTTATTGGATACACAGGTCCAAAGCCCAAAAGATCTTGGCTGATGCCAAGTGCTGATGTTCAGGGGTGTGTAATACAGCTTTATCTCTGCAGTGACACCAACTGGTGGAAAGGTGAAAACCACAGAGGAGTGGGGCTGTTTCCATCTAATTTTGTGACTTCAGACTTAAATGTGGAACCTGAGGCAGGTAAGTGAGCTGCTAGAAGGTGTCAGATTATTTTAGAAAGATGGGCTTATGGTGGAACTACTGATTACCCCATCAGCAAAATAAATCCCTGAGATCAGCCCAGGGGAAGAGCTGAGAGAAAAGTCCTGCCTGTTTCAAACAGCTGAGCAAACATACCACTGAAAACACCAAACACAGCTCACCTGAATGATTGGATCTATGAATTTTGATTCTGTGTTCTAGTATTCACTTGAATCTATGTTCTGATGCCTTTCTACATTGGTACTTTTTTCCTGTTACAGAAATTCAGATCAATTTACCATAATTCTGTCAGTAACATATTGCCAAGCTACTGGATTCATATGCATCTAAACCATTGAGGTCTTTTCTCAGACCTGGTATAGGAAAACATCCACACACGTGTCTGTGGTTTGCAGGAAATCACATGGATAGTTTTATTCATCCTCACCATACCAAAATAAATCTTTAAGCCTCAGGCCTGTGTGTTGGAGGTGTTGGGAGGTGCTGATGTGACTCAGGACTCTTCCCCTCGCCGGGCCGAGGCTCATAACTGAGCTCACAGCCCAAAGCTGGTCACAGTGGTTTCCAGGCAAACCCTTTTCCCCTTCTCCAGCAGCTAGGTGCATCACTGCCTCAAGTACTCCCTGAGATCTCTCCCATGGGAAGATCTGGTGGCAGGCAGGGAGAAAATGTGGATTTTTCAGTTGGCCTAGCAACGCAGCTGCAGAAAAAAAACCTCATGTTTGTTCTTTCAGCAACTGTGGATAAAAATTCTCTTCCTGAGGATACTCCAGAAGAAATAAAGAAAGCAGAACCTGAGCCAGTTTATATAGATGAGGTATGTGGGCACCTTGAGTATAAAAAATGGCTGAGATGTTACACTGGTTGAAACAGTCTTTTGTTACTCAACGTAAGCAGATAATTCTTTGTGTGAAAGAAGGACTGTTCTAATTGGAAAATTTAAACAGTCTCTGCTATGCTTCAGAAGTAACTCTCTTAATCTCCCCCTTCACCTTTCAGGAGAAGATGGATAAAACACTACAGGTACTTCAGAGCATAGATCCTACAGATTTAAAGCTCGATTCTCCAGATCTCCTAGACTCAGAAGGTACTTGGAGCACTCTTGGCTAGTTCTTGTGTTTCTCCTCACCCATTTGATGACCAAGCTGATAATTCTTTTGCATTTATTTTAAGCTCAGAGAAACCATGGTCTGTACTAATAGAAGGCTGCAGAACAGCTTATTTCACAGTGGGAGCGTGGGGCTAGATCTATAACTCCTAAATTTTCTACTAGTTGCCAAGCCAACTCCATGTTGAGCAGAATCATTTGCATAACTTCCAACTACTGTACAATGCCTGAGCTTTTGCTAGATGTATCAACATTCTCCTTGAAATAAGCAGTTCATTTTGTGTCAAGATTTCTCCAAAATACTGTTGGCTAGGAGGGGAGGGGAAGTTCAGGTCACTTAAGAGCCATTTAGGCCGAGGTGTGTGATTAAAACTGAGTGTACATTAAGAAGGAGTGTTGCTAGGATGGACAAAGTGAAGGTGGAGGAAGCTCTGCAGTGCAGCAGGAGGAGGTGGACCCATGGGCAGGCTGGATTGGATGTTCCAGCAGGAGATGAAAGTCACAGATCTTGCACAATGCAAACAAATGGAGAATTTCCTGTGTTTCATCAGCATTTTGAGAGGGTAGCGGGAAAGAGAGGATGACAAAGCAGAGTGACCCAAGTATGTGTGCTGTCTGTCTGGGTTAGAGGAGTGGGACACACATGAGGCCTGGCAGAAAGCTGGGGACAGACTTTGGAGCAGGGTCTGTTGGGACAGGGCCAAGGGATGATAGTTTTAAACAAGAAGAGGGAGATGTAGACTAGAGAGAAGTGAAAAATTTTTTCCACTGAGGGTGGTGAGCCCTGTCCCAGGCTGCCCAGAGAGGTGGTCACTGCCCCATCCCTGGCACCATCCCAGGGGAGGTTGGATGAAGCTCTGAGCACCCTGCTCTAGCTGCAGATGTCCCTGTCCCTGCAGGGGGGTTGGACTGGATGACTTTTAAAGATCCCTTCCAACCCAAACCAGTCTGTTCTAACTAGGCCCCCTCTCCAAGTTCATGTGCTGTTTTAGTGCCCTTGGATAAAGTGGAGTTTGGCTGAATTTGAACTTTAATTGTGCAAGACACTAACTACCCTGATACTTTTGTCTTCCCAGATATTTGTCAACAGATGGGTCCAATGATTGATGAAAAATTAGAAGAAATAGATAGGTGAGTGGCCTGGTTTGTGAGCCCTAACATAGCTCCTGGTTAGTTATGTTGATGTACTTTAAATCATGCAGTTGTATTAATCTCTTTTGATACCTTCTCTTTCATCTCCTAAGCCAGCAAATCTTGGAAGAAAGATTTTTGTCAATTCTACATTTGTTTTGTAGTGCTCAAGTGCTGAGGTCCCAGTGTGTGTACTAAGATTTGATTGCTGATCTCCAAAATTTACTGCACAAATTACTGGCTGCATCTGATATTAGCATTTTTTGACTGTAGCCTTTTGCACCCTGGCTAGAGCTTCATATTTTCAGTCTGCTGCTGAATGTCCTCCACAACAGGAAATTCTGCTCAATCCTGCCTTCACCTCTTCCCCCTCAGACTCCTAGGGATATTTGAGGGTGGAAAGAAAGGTCACAAAGACTTGTAGAACTGCTTCCCTTATTGCAGCCAGGGAGGAACAGTTGTTCACCACTGGGACCTCCTTCCAGTCCCATGGGTGTGTGGAACATCATGGCAATGTCACAGGATCCCAGCATGGTGGGGCTGGAAGGGACCTCTGGAGATCATCCCCTCCAACCCCCCTGCTCCAGCAGCTCACCCCCAGCAGGGT